GATGTCTACTTATTTAGTAGCATACATGGTGTCAGATTTCGCATACTTTAAAACGGATAGTGGTGWTAATGAAGTGGAATTTTGTGTAATAGCTAGAAAAGATGCGGCCAACCAAACAAAACTTGCCAACGAGTTGGGACCAAAGGTGTTGAAATACTATGAGGATTATTTTGACGAAAAATTTCCATTGTCCAAACAAGACATGGCGGCCATACCGGATTTTTCTAACGCTGCTATGGAAAATTGGGGTCTCGTGACATTTAAGTACGAAACAAGCATTTAAAAACACAAATGCAATATAATATTATRTGTTATAATAAAATATGTTGATATTTTTATACGATATGCAATTACATAATCAACACACTAAAATATAGTGTCTGTAAATCGTATATAATTTTGGGATATTATATTTCTGCAAGTTATTTTACATTTAATGGGCTGTAAAATGAAATATGTATAAGGTTTTTAAATAATTAATAGTATTGAAATGTGCATATTACCTATATGTAAACAGAAAATTGGAAAAATATGCACAATGTATAGTCATAATGTAAACAATCTCTAAAAATAATTTCTTTTCAATGAAGTTTTTGATAAAAATCGAAGTTGTTGATGTTATATAAAATCTAACGATAAACATTACCTAATGTCTAATGAACAAAATCCATTCACTAGTTTTTCAATGTTCTAATCGCGAATATTGCGGTTTCTCCTGGCATGTAATTAAAATTTCTTAATACCAGCATTTAATTTTAAACATTATGAACTTCTTAAAGGTGCTTTATCATAAGATTTAAACATAATTATTATGGCTATTATATCCTTTACAGAAAATCAATTTTTCTTACTTAGTATATGCATATTACGTATAATAATTCTAATATGCCAGTGATATTCCAATAATCTATTTACTAATTCAATTCTTTTTTGATTATTATTATTCGGATTGTTAGGTTTTAGTTTATAGCTTTTTAAATTAAAGTGTATCTTCATAATATCTACAATAACTGTAAATTTAATAATAAAGTGTATTGGACTGTTACATTTAAAAATATCATATTTTTTTTATCAGAATAAACATTGGACAATTTAGTACTCATTAATGTATACATTTATATTAGTAGCCACTTGTTGTTAAATTATTAAAAATTAAAACACAATTTACGAACAGATTTGTTTATGCATTATAAAAAAAAAAAAAACTTTGGCAACCAAAAACTCATTAAATGCTAATACTTAAAMTTTTTCCCTGTAAAAAATCTATTGATTCCGCCGAATTAAGCAATTAAGCATCGGTTTTCATATATCTTAATC